TCGAGTTTACAAAAAACAATACACGATCGCACGTTGAAATTAAAGCATAGACATTACTACTACATGGGCTGCTAGTCTTCATATGTTTTCCGTTGTATACAGTGCTCAACTGTGACATCACATGTCTGAGCGAACATTGCCGACGACGATCGCGGACTCACCCTATTGATCAAATGCCACATGTCATATGTTACGTACCAGATATAGACCTTATAATATATAAACAGGTGCATTCGATTTTATGTACATTAGTGTAATATTATCATTTCTTACAAAATTATCATCCACCACAATTGCCATTATATCATTAAAACAAAACATACCACATATGACATTTAATCAATCGGGAGAGCCCGCGATTGTCGTCGGCAACGTTCGCTCAGACATGTGACGTCACAGTCCCTTCTATGTTTAAGCACTTATTTTGCGCTTGACTAGACAGTGCATAAAGTCTATGACTAAAAGTGATTTAATTGGTGACCCCGTCAAATTAATCTTGAATCATATCTACTACTTTTATTCAATATTTTGAAGTGAAACTTCCTTAGGCGCGGCTAGGGTGTGAATCCGTACAAATGCAACGGAAGTGCGTTACGGCATATAAGATAAGATAAGAACCGAGTGCCAATGGATAAATATAACATATTAACTAATAATATAACATACTAAAATTACAACATTCTAAAACAAATACAAAAATTACAATACATTTTTAAACTTTACTCCTTCAGCGTGTCACTTAAAATCACATATGTATATAAATTCTAGAGTGTACTTTTTTCATAAAATTTAAATATCTCAAATATTTGTTAGAAAACTCGTCGATTTTAGTATTTGTTGGGATAGTAGATATAATAGAGTATAACATACTAAAGTTACAACGTTCTAAAATATACAGAATTATTTAAAAAAATTCTACACTTTATTCTTTCAGTACGGAACACATATATAGTTTCTAGAAGGTACTTTTATTATGAAATGTTGAATATCTCGAATATTTGTTAGATTACATATCAGTTTTAGTATTTGTTACGATAGTAGACATAATAGAATATAACGCACTAAAATTACAACATTATAAAATATCTACAACTATTTTAAAAAAAAAATCTAAAATTTTATCATACACATCTATAGTTTCTAGAGGGCACTTTTATCATAAAATTTGAAACATCTCAAATATTTGTTAGAAAACTCATCGATTTTAATTTCTGTATCTGTAGTAGACATATTAAAATATGCTATACTATGATTACAGCATTTTAAAAAGTCATTCGCTTTCGATGATATCATTTCTATACGGGTCGATTGTGATTAGTCGTCGTGTATGTGAATAGAGATCTGTCGTTGTATGCGTACCGATATATACAAGGAAATCGACATAGATAGATAAATAAACATTTTAAAGTTACATCGTAGTACAAATCTTGATTTAATGAAAAATGCCTGAATCAGAAGAATATTTTACTCTGTTCCTTGAAAATAATAAAACAAATTAAACATTTGTGCCGTGTACTAAACGTAAGTTTATTGATTAGAAATTATTTCTACATTATTCGTAGTTTCTATGAATCTTGGAAGTTATTAAAATGGAGATGAAATCATTCTATGAAATGAGATTATATCGCCAGTGATACAGTAAAAAAAATACAAACGGTCAATGAATGTATGTTAATTTTAATAACATGAAGTTCTTCAAACACAATTACACACATGATGAGTAAAGTTGCGAAAACAATATTTGTTTAGGCGTTATATAACATAATCTACTGTGTGAACGAATATTATAGAATTTATTAATCAGCAATTACTTTATTTCTCTAACGAAGGTTCAAGTCCTAAGTACTAATTACAATGACAAACCGATCATGTCATATTTGAAGTATGACTTTGATTACATTATTGTTTCTAAATATTATACATATTTAACTCATTTTTTACTAATGTTTATTATTTTATTTTTTTCAGCCGTCCAAAATGGAGCCATCGACAAAATTTTGAATCCAGCCGATTCTCTTCAGAGAAAATGTGGAGTGCATCCTGACGTCAAGGATAAACCTTATTTGTTGTATTTCGATTTGTTGAAATGTGCACAAAATGGCCCTTTGCACAGCCCTTGCTTTACCCCACGGGCAAGTGTTAAAAAATAATTAAGAAACCGCTTCTGCCGCATAACAGACAAATGTTATGGCAAGGCTATGTTGTGAAGAAATTTCCATACTGAATATTGACAAAGCCATGCGGTTGGTGTGCAGTCAGGCGTATGTCTCAGACAATCATATAGAAAACCTAACATAGAAACCGCACAAATATCAAAAAATATTAGATAACACAATGTTTTTATTTTCTTCGACTGCTGGACGTCAAATCCGGCTCGAAGGACCAATGTTTTTTCAATGTTGTTGTGATTGATTGCTTTTTGAAGGACCTTAATTTCTGTGTAAAACGCCTGACTGCACAGCAACCGCATGACCTTCGTCAATATTTATCATGGAAAAATCTTCCTAACATGGCCTTGCCATAACATTGGTCTGTTATGCGGCAGAATCGGCTCTATTAATTACAGTTTTTTTGTTTTTTTTTTTAGGTTTGTGTCGAGAAATGTCCAGACGAAGACTTCTCATTCAATGACGAATATATAAAAAAGACAGATTTTGTGACTTTACGCGAAAAAATAATTTGTAAACCCGAAGTCAACATGACGAGAGATTTGTTCGATTATAAATCAGCCAGGGAATTAATTGAAAATAGAGATTGCTTGGGGTCGTATTTCAGGAGTAAACCAATCCCATGTAAGTAATATATACCGGGCTAGCTAGTATATACATTATGGTGGTCCTTAATATGGATATTTTCGAATTTTTTTGCTTCCAAAGGCTCCCAATGAAATCAATTTTAAATTAGCCAGGCACTTGCAATGACTATTAATATGCTCCAAGAATATTTATTTATATGTGGCATGCGTTGCAGTGGATAAACCACACATATAATTTGTATAAGCTGCTCTTTTATATAGGACATACGTCCGCAATCACAATTAATGAGTTAATTTTTCTATTATTTTTTTTCTAAAAATATTTAGGGTGGTCCTTAATATGGACATTTTAAAAATTTTTCGTTCCCAAAGGCTCAAATGCTTTCAAATTAATAAAAGAAAATTCTCTAAAAGTTTTTGCTCTTAATATTAACATTTAGACAATCCGCAATTCAATTAAAAGTTTCGTATATTTATTATTACCATATATTCTTGCGCCATCTGTGATAGCATTTGTGAACTTTACTTAAAAATATTTATAATTCACTTAATTTCTAATTAAATCCATGTGTACTGTTTAACGAAATATTTATTCATCATGGAATCAAAATCAATTTTGCAGCAAAATATTTATTTTATTGGTGATTTTGACACTCAAATTATCAGTAAGAAATTCCATCAAAATTACAAGTCTGCTTTCACAGATGGCGCTAGAATTTACTTAATGATATATGCTAAAAATGATATACGAAGTTTTTAATTGTATTGCGGGCTATCTAAATGTTATTATTAAGAGCAAAAGCTTTCAGAGAATTTGTTTTTATTAATTTGAAAGCATTTGAGCTTTTGGGAGTGCAGAAATTTAAAAATGTCCATATTAAGGACCACCCTAATATACATATAAACCTAAAAAAAATAATATAAAAATTACTTACTTATTGTGATTGTGGTCGTATGTGTTATATAAGTGAAAGAGAGAGCTAACAGAAATTATATGTGTAGTTTATCTACTGCAACGCATGCCACATATAAATAAATGTTCCTGGAGCATATTAATTAGGGTTTATACAAAAACCGACATTTCAAAAAACCGGTTTTCGAATTTTATATAGAAAATAAACTTTTGCTTGGATATTCTGTAATTTACCCGCAAATTTAGTGTAATTTAGAGCAGAATTTGACTGTATTTATTTATTGTTTAACTTTATAGATAGTAAACAAAATTATTTTAATTTTAATTAGTAGAACTAAGAAATAATAGTTTATTTTGATTAAATAACTTTAAAAATAATTATTCGTTATTCATGCATCATTTTCACATATAAGAATAAAAATATTTTTATGATAGCGAAAGGAAAGTTTTCGAATAAATAAAAATAATACATTTCTAAATAAAAAAAATCATTAAATTAAAAAATAAAAGTAAAAAAATATTAGATGCATGTTGATACATACTTGTTAATATCAATTTTAGTTTTAAAAGCAATTAAGCTAAACTCGGGTATTGTCTGTTGCGAGCAATTTTAATTAATTAGTTTTAAACATTCTAATTGTTTTTTGTTTAATAAAATATGATTTCAAAAAACTGAGAACGTCTATCGAATTTCTACTTAGACGTGTCTTTTATTGTTTACTCACAAAAATTTCCCGAAATTGAAAATACTCTCATGCTAGCGACCAAATTATGCTTAATTATTTTTAAAGTCTGATATAATACTAAGTATTTTGTTTTTTAATTTGTGGTTTCTAGGGTTTAAAACTCTTTTTTTTTTAAGTTTGAGTAGTGGAAGTTACTGCTTCAAGAAGAAGTCACACTGATTTAAATTAATATATACACTGGTATAAAAATCTAAATTAATATACACAAAACATTTCTGGGAACCATTGCATACTGATAAAATATCAAATGCTATTGAAACGATATGATTTCAAGAATCAAAACGCTTTCTTCTATCTTTTATATTTGGCTATAGTTGTCATTTTCCATTTATACAGCAAAAACCGACTTTTTTTACTAAAAAACCGGTTTTCGAATGCCATAATTTTCGTCAAAAACCCGGTTTTTAGAACCGGTTTTTGAAAACCGACAAACCCTAATATTAATAGTCATTGCAAGTGCCTGGCTAATTTTAAACCGACTTTCTTTAGAATCGATCGATAATTTGACTCGACTAGTTTTATCGGTTTTAATTTAAGCTTATGAAAAGAGCAATTACTGTTGACTAATTTTTATTCATTTTTGCAGCTTCAAATATTTGTGTTCCTCGAAATATGAAAAAAATTTCAATGAAGTATGGCTTAGAACCAGATGCTCTGAGAAATGCTTTTATGTCTGCCAAAAACCTGACAAGAGATGGTGACGTGAGTAAAGATATAATAAAAATTTTTAGTTTTATTTTTTATAAACCCTGTAATTAATATTTAAATTTTTTACAGGTTTCCAGCAAAGTAGTTGAAGATTTATCAGCGATTTGGTGGCATATTGTTTTATTATTATTGGGCTCTATGGTGGTCTGTTTGATCTACATCGTCGCCATGAGATGGTTAGCGGAATTTTTTGTCTGGTTTTCGATTGCACTCATTACTGTTTTACTTCTTGCAGGTAATAAGAAAAAGCTAATAAATAGATATAAGAATGAATGAATAAACTAGTGGTGTATGGCATCGTGCCTTAAGGCAAATTGCTGGAACTTCCCGTACCGTAATGAAATATTCGAGAAATTTTAAACGTTTTCAAATATATTATTACGAATACTGTAACTTTCATTATTTTTGCATGATCTTGTTATATCTGAGCAAATCAAATGTAAATCATAAATCAATTGACAATCGTCATTTCATTTCTAATTCAATTTAAAAGAATAGTTGCCTAATTTGCACAAAATTGAAAAAGTGCTCCCGTATAGTCACAGTCTAAACGCATTTGCAAATAATTCTGTGCGACATTTTTACTTATACTGTGCTCGGCTGGCGACATTTTCACATTTTTCAATAGCTTTCACAAAATTTGAAAAGTGCTCGAGTACATAAACAGTCTAAACGCACTCTGGTAAACATTTGTACCAGAGTTGCGCTTAGACTGTGCTTAGCCTGGGTCATTTTTTCAATTTTTCATCCAAAATTACAATAACTTAGATAATATGCAAATAAATACATAGATGAATAAATTAATGATTAAAAAAGCTGTAAAATAGATAACTAACGAAATAAATGAGTTATTAAAGGTATAAATGCATGATTTAGTAAAAAGGCAGATAAATAAATCAACATATAGAAAAAAATCGTAAAAAATTGATAGATGAATTAATAATAAACTAGTTGGTATTAGTATTTTGCCTTGAGACAAGTTACATGAACTTCCCGATATGTTTAAATAATCGACCTAATCAATAAAAAATAAATTAATTTATGAGCGATTAAAAGTATTCCGAGTGGATTTATTACACATAATTGAAAACGAACGAGCACGTTAACTTGGAGTATTTTCTAAAAGCAAATTTTTCAAAAATCAACAATTCTTATAACTGAACCAATTTGCGTAGGGCTTTAATGGTTTAGTATGTTCATCAAAACCAAGTACTCTATCGTTATACCAAGTAAATCGTCTAATTTTAATTTTAACAAAAACTACTCATTTTCTCAAACTTTGAAGAATTTTTAAAATTAAACGACTCGTTGTAGGGCCGTAATATTTTAGTATGACCTAAAAGACTATGGTATCTACCGTCAAAAAAAATCATAAAAATCTTCGATTTTTTTTTTAAACTTCGTTACAAGAAAACGGCCCGGCCGATCTTTACCAAAAACTAATCAGCACGATTCCCAATCAATATCTTTCGAACGGTTTTTGAATTTTCAAAATCGATTCAGAATTGCGGGCTTAAACGTGGACGAAACATTTTTCAATTTTCTGCGATTCACAAAGAAACAGCCCGGCCGATCGTTGCACAAAGCTCAGACCAAAACTAGTCCTCATCGAGATACATCGAATGGCTTTTAATTTTGTGAAATCGGTCCAGCCGTTTGGGAAAACACCTGAATTTATGGTAAAAAATCTTGTTCACACACACACACATACTTTTTCCTTAAATGTTGGTCTCATGGCTTGAAACGTCGAGAAAACATAAAATTAGCGAATCGGTTTTTTTGATGAAAACATAAACTTCTCTTTCGGGAAATTAACTAGTCAAATAACTAAAGTCTTTTTATTTTGCAGGACTTGGTGTAAGTTTCTATTTCTTTGCAAATCCAAACGGCGATGATGTTTTAAAATATTTCGCTTTGGCTGGAGGAGTACTTTTTGGAATTATGTTATTATTTTTGTTTATTATAATATGTTGTGGGCGAAGGAATATCAAGATATCGATAGCCCTTATCAAGTTAAGCGGAAGGTAAGTTGAAGGATACTTTTGTTTTTTATTAATCTTATATATAAAAATGAAGCCTTTTTTCAAATGTCCAAGTAAAACTCGAAAACGGCTAAACCGATTTGGCCAGTCTTAGTCTTGAAAAATTCGTGCCAATCCAGAGAAAGTCCAAAAGGTGAGAAATTATTTCAAATCCGCGTAGAAACTTTACGTTTTTAATTTGAAATTTTTTGTAGAAGCGTAATTTGAACAAAACAATGGACGGTGGCTAATACGTTAAATGTCAAACGATTTTGACAGATGATATTCAATTACATTTAATAGGATATTTTACGTGAATATTATTTAATTATGTATAAATTGTAGTAAGTAGCTTCGTTTGTAGTTTTATTTATATATAAAAACGTTAGTAAACGGGCCGCAAGTGTTACTAGAGACTCAAAATATCAACTTTTTTGATATGTTAATATGAAAATGCACTTTTTGGCATATTTTTCTCAAACACGGTGCTCTGAAAGATCTCATTTGTATAATTATATACTCATTGGTATTTATAAAACATTTTCTAGGTTATATTATTTTTAAATATTATTTAAATTCAGAACCTAAATTTTGTATCGATGAAATGGACATTTTGTCGAATAACATTTTCCCAGTTATAATTTCCCAGAATTTATCAAAGAATAGATAGTAATATATGAAGGTCCGGGGTTAAAAAGCTCCACTACCGATGTGTTAAAAAACAGTAGAGTTAAGCATTGTTGAACAACAATATTTGCAAGTAGAGGGAAAATGATGTAACCTTGATTCTCGTGACTTTGCTATCGGGAGATAAACGGTAATCTTTGAAAATCCATAATAAAAGCATTTTCTTCCGTTGGTAATTTTTTAGCATTAGTTAAAAATGTAAATATTTTGTAAAATACCTTTAAAATTGAAATAAGACATTAAACCTGTTTGCCACCTGGCCGTTCCAAGTTACCCCGCCTATAGGCTAAAAAGGTCTAGATAACAAATTTTTGAAAGACATCAAAAAAGCACATTTCTACAATGATGAAGTAGAAGTCAGTTTACTGAACGTAGTCAGATAATTGTTTATTTGAAATGTGTTATTTGTTGTGATATAATTATTTTGGTTTTTACAATATATTTTATATTTGCTCAAAGTGAAATTGGACCTTTGTGCCTCGCCCTGCTCTACATATATACTTTTTATTAAATTCACTTTAATTCATAGAATGTTACTTGAAACTTTTCAAAAAGCAGGTCAAAGAAGAAATACTTGATTCATTTTTTATCTTTCCTCGTAGAAATTTGAAAATTTTGTATAAGCTTAGTAGTATTATTTATAATTATACACAAAATCCAGAATCCAAAAGGAATCTGAAAAACTTGAAACGTAATCAATAAGTCGAAAGACCAAAAAAGACTTGAATTGGATGGATTATACCATGTTTTCTATGGAAAGTGTACAAAACTTTCAGACAAAATATAGACTAATGGGGTTTATTGTTTTTATAATACCTCATTGTATATAGCATTCAAACAACACATCCTTATACTCTTAAAGTATTAATTTTATGATTCTCTAGAAATTGTTTAGTTACCTTACTTAGCAAAACAACGTTTGCCGGGTCAGCTAGTTACGAATAAAAATCTATTATCTTTTTCAGGGCAATAGGGTCATTACCATCAACCCTGATCTTTCCCTTGTATCCATGGTTATTGCAATGTCTGGTTTTGGCTTGTGCAGTTGTCATTGCAATGTATTTGGCATCAATGGACAACAATGGTTCAAGTGCTTTAAATCCTTTTCCTTTTAACCAGGAACTTAGAATATACGACTACACGAATTCTAAGGGCGATGGGGTTGTTGAATCTTGGAACTGTTCCAAGTACTTGAGTAGTTTTGGGACTGAACAAATGGTAGGTATCGAAAATATGAACTAGTTGTGTATAGCATCGTGCCTTAAGGCAAATTGCTGGAACTTCCCGTACGTAACGAAATTTTCGAGGAATTTTAAACGTTTTCAAATATATTATTACAAATACTAATGTAACTTTTATTATTTTTGCTATCTTGTTTGTTATATCTGAACAAATCAAATGTAAATCTTAAATCAATTACTACATTAACAATCGTCATTTCATTTCGAATTCAATTTCAAAAAAAAAATAGTTGCCTAATTTGCGCAAAATTGAAAAAGTGCTCCCGTACAGTCACAGTCTAAACGCATTTGCAAATAATTCTGTGCGACATTTTCACTTATACTGTGCTTAGCTTGGCGGCATTTTCACATTTTTCAATAGTTTTCTCACAAAATTGGAAAAGTGCTCCAGTACTTAAACAATCTAAACGCATTTAGGTAAACATTTGTACCAGAGTGGCGCTTAGACTGTGCTTAGCCTGGGTGATTTTTTGAATTTTTAATCCAAAATTACAAAAATATTTTATGGAAAGCAATTGTTTTGTCAATATAATATAATATATAATATAATATATATGTATATTATATAATATATTATAATATAATATACAAGCAAAAAATTGACAATTTTATAAAAAGGACTCTACTGACGAGCAAACTAAAAAAGAGAATTTTATAAAATGGACTCTACTGACGAGCAAACTAAAATAAAACACATTTTTTAGAAAATGTAAATGTAATAGAAAATTTTCTCTAATAGAGTTGAAAAGAGACTCTACTGACAAGCAAATTAAAAAAGAGGACAATTACATAAAAAAGGACTTTACTGACGAGCAAACTAATAGAGAAGACAATTTATTAGAAAAAGGACTCTACGAGCAAACTGAAAAAGAAGACAATTTCATAGAAAAGGACTCTACTGACGAGCAAAATAAAAAACAATTTATTAAAAAAAGGACTCTACTAACGAACAAACTGAAAAAGAAGACAATTTCATAGAAATGGACACTACTGACGACACAAAATATAAAAACAATTTATTAGAAAAAGGACTCTACTGACGAGCAAAATACAAAAGACAGTAAATAAGAAAGGAACCCTACTAACGAGCAAACTGAAATTTAACAAGTAGAAAAAAAATTCTACTGACAAGCAGTAAATAATAATAAATGAATAATTGTATAATTTTTTAGATCATCCAAATCGGATAATCCATTCTCTCAAAAACTCGATTTGTATTTTCTGCGCTCCGTGTCTCCTAAACGACTGGACCTGCTTTTGACAAAAACTAATCCGCATATATACTTATCAATAGGAATTGAATGTTTTTTTAAACCATTCGAATCGGTTGATCCGTGCGTCCGAAAACGTGGACGAAAAAATGCGAACACACAAAACACACACACATACACATCCATTTTTTCTGAGGTATGCCAAAATGTTCAGAAACCTTTAAAACGTCGAGAAATGCAAAAATTTTCAATTTAGATTTTTCGACGATTACAATAACACACCCGACGGGAAGTTAATTATTACATCTTTTTTATTTTCCATGAAATACTTTTGTAATTTTGGATTAAAAAAATGCAAAAAAGCTAAGCGCCACTCTGATACAAATGTTTACCCATGTGCGTTTAGACTGTTTATGTAACGGAGCACTTTTCCAATTTTGTGAAAACTATTGAAAAATGTGAAAATGCTGCCAAGCCAAGCACAGTATAACTGAAAATGTCGCACAGAATTATTCACAAATGCGTTTAGACTGTGACTATACGGGAGCACTTTTTCAATTTTGTGTAAATTAGGCAACTATCCTTATTTTTGAAATTAAATTCGAAATGAAATGACGATTGATAAATTGATTTATGATTTACATTTGATTTGCTCAGATATAACAAACAAGATAGCAAAAATAATGATAGTTACAGTATTTGTAATAATATATTTGAAAACGTTTAAAATTTCTCCAATATTTCGTTACAGTATGGGAAGTTCCAGCAATTTGCCTTGAGGCTCGATGCTATACACCAATAGTTATTGTTTTATTTTTCCGCAGGTGTCCCTTCCCTGCGACAAAGATTTCGTTGCACAAAATTGCATGAGAACGACTTACGAGAGCAAAGGGTCGATAATAAGTTACAACGAATACAACACTAATTTGAGACCATTCGATGCATATGAAGATTGCAAAATGACTAAAAGAGATTTCGGCAATAACGAGGAGGATCCAGATTTCTTACCTTTGATATTCCATGGTAAAAAAATACTTAATGTTATCTTAAGGGGCACAACTAGTGTAACCGCCTAAAAAAAGGTGATTTTTAGGAATTTATATTAAAAAAACTACTTTATCAATAATTACAAAATTTCAAGGATGTATTTATACATGTTTTAAGAATACATAGTAATATTTTTGAAGGAAAAAATTAAATAATTTGTAAGTTATCGTCGATCTTCAACGGCGTGACAAAAAAAAAGTCATTCACTGCTGCAGTGATTCCGGCCTTCTACGTGGATGAAATCAAAAAAAAAAAATTCTCGTTAAACTAGATAATGTTGTCTATAGAATGAACTACGATAAAAAAAAATCAAAAATGACGGCGTTTTTTTTAAAAAAAAGTCGAATTTTACCCAAAATTTTGGACGTTTTTGGACTGCCAAAATTCCATTTTTGATCCGATCAAAAAATCGGTAGTTCATTTTACGGAGAACTATATATAGAATATGTAAATAAAAATTGATAGTGATCGGATCATTTGTTTTTGAGTAATCGCTGCAGCAAATTCGAAAAATGCGGTTTCGAGAAAAACGCGTTTAAAGATAAAACGATCGTTGTACTATATACTACATATATACTGTTCAAATGGCTGTGACTCAAAAACTATATAAGATATCGATTTGAAATTTCAGTATGCTATTTTTAAAGGTATAACCTATCGAAATGTGGAAAAATTGAAAATTCGATTTTTTGAAAATTCCACACTAGTTGTGCCTCTTAATAGTTTGCTTTAATTGAAAAATACATACAACCCTAAATTTTCACTCTATTATTTTTTTATTTTTTTTTAGCTTACAACGGTATAGCATTCGTGTGGTTGGCTATTTTTATATCAATGATGGGCGATATGGTTTTGGCCATGTCTTTTGCAACCTGGTACTGGACTTTTAATAAAAGTGATGTTCCATTTTTCACCGTTTTCCAGTCAATTGTTAAAACTTACACGTAAGAACAAAAATACATATATATATATACATATATATATATATATATATATATATATATATATTATAAAGTCAACCCTCCGACGCGCTAAAAAAAACTCGTTTAAACCAAGCCATTTTGTAGCGCGTTCTATAAAAACCGAATAAAAAGTCACTGCATTTGTACCGCGTTATATGAAAACCAATAATTAAAAAATACAACATAAATCATGAATTGTTTTAATAGATCTTGATGAGTTTATATAAGAATATGTGAAAAATGGGATAAAAACCGAACTAAAATACTAACTAATTTTCAAGCCGATTTTTTTAAGAAGCACTTTATATTTATATTTATACTAACTGACCCGACAAACTTTTGCTAAGTAAGGTACTTTTTAAACAATTTCTAGAGTAACAATAAAATTAATACTTTAAGTGTATAAGGATGTGTTGTTTGAATGCTTTGAATACAATGAGGTATTATAAAAACAATAAACCCCATTAGTTTGTCTATATTTTGTTAATACAATCAAACTGGAAGTTCTATACACTTTCTATACAAAACATGGTATAATCCAATCCAAGTCATTTTTGGTCTTTCGACTTATTGATTACGTTTCAAATTTTTCAAAAATTCTTTTTGGATTCTGGATTTTGTGTATAATTGTAAATAAGACTATTGAGCTTATAGAAAATTTTCAAATTTCTGCGAGGAAAGATAGAAAATTAATTGAGTATTTCTTCTTTGACCTGCTTTTTTAAAAAGTTTCAAGTAACATTCGATGAATTAAAGTAAATTTAATAAAAAGTATATATGTAGAGCAGGGCGAGGCACAAAGGTCCAATTTGACTTTGAGCAAATATAAATTATATTGTGAAAACAATAACAATTATATCACAACAAATAACACATTTCAAACGAACAATTATCTGACTACGTTCAGTAAACTGACTTCTACTTCATCATTGTAGAAATGCGCTTTTTTGATGTTTTTCAAAAATTTGTTATTAAATTTAGACATTTTAAACTTTGGAACGGCCAGATGGCAAACAGGTTTAATGTCTTATTTCAATTTTAAAGGTATTTTACAAAATAATTACATTTTTAACTAATGCTAAAAAACTACCGACAGAAGAAAATAATTTTATTATGGATTTTCAAATATTACCGTTTATCTCCCGATAGCAAAGTCATAAGAGTCAAGGTTATAAGCTGGTTAAATATCTTTTTCCCTCTACTTTCAAATATTGTTGTTAAACAATGCTTAACTTTACTGGTTTTTGACACATCGCTAGTGGACCTTTTTAACCCCGAACCTTCATATATTACTATATATTCTTCGATAAATTCTGGGAAATTATAACTGGGAAAATGTTATTCGACAAAATGTCCCTTTGATCGAACCAAGTTTAGGTTTTGAATTTAAATAATATAAATAAAAAATAATATAACCTAGAAAATGTTTATAAACACCAATGAGTATATAATTATACAAATGACAATTTTCAGAGCACCGTGTTTGGGAAAAATATGCCAAAAAGTGCGTTTTCATATTAACATTTCAAAAAAGTTGATATTTTGAGTTTCTAGTAACACTTGCGGCCCGTTTAATAACGTTTTTGTGTATAAATAGAACTACAAACAAAACTACTTACTACAATTTAATCATAATTAAATAATATTCACGTGAAAAATTGTATTAAACGTAATTGAACATCATCTGTCAAAAACGTTTGACATTTGACGTATTAGCCACCGTCCATTGTTTTATTCAAATTACGCTTCTACAAAAATGTTCAAATTGAAAATGTAAAGTTTCTACGCGATTTTGAAATAATATCTCACCTCTCCGAGAACCTGCTGATTAGCACGAATTTTTCAAGACTAAGACTGGCCAAATCGGTTTAGCCGTTTTCGAGTTTTAGCGAATCATTTTATCGAGAGCTCCATTTTTATATATAAGAAAATAATAATAAGAATACGATAAAAAATGGAATAAAAGCCAAACTAAAATACTAACTAATATTCAAGCCGAATTTTTTTTAGAAGCACTTTAGTGGTGTGTGAAACTGACACTACAAAATCGATGTAATCGATAAAACTGTTACAACAATATCTAGTTACTAGAGACATTCATAGAGGGTAGTAAGGAACTTAAGGGCTTTTGAATGAAAACCGCGCTTTATAGGAGAGTTGACTGTATAATAAACACTACTTTATTGTTGTATTTATTTTCATTGTAAGATAATTTAATGTTTTTGTTCAATATTTTAATTATTTATATTTTTTCAGATACCATACAGGAACCTTGGCCTTCGGCTCATTGTTAATAACAATATGCAAAATTATTAGATCTTTTTTGAAGAAAAATCAAAATCAGGGAAATCCATGTGTAGCCTGTCTTATTTGTTGCTGTAGATGTTTGTGTTGGTGTATTGAAAGAATCATCAAATTTATTACTAAGTGAGTATAAAAAAGAGTGCGCGTAAGGTTCACACGCAATTGAAGTAAAACTTATTTGCTACTGTATAAGATGGCATTTAAGTAAATATAAATACATCATATAACAATTTTAAATAATGTTTATTAGTAATATGGTAACATTCGTCGTAATGCACATATTTATTTATGTCAACCATTATGCATATTTATATAGTAAAAATTATAAATTTTATATTTATAATGGCTTTAAGAATATGTACAATATTTAAAAGCAATAATGTTATTAAAGTCATACTTCAAATATGACATGATCGGTTTGTCATTGTAATTAGCATTTAGAAATGAACCTTTTGTTGATATCGGTACGAATACAACGTTGATGCCGGTACGCATACAACGACAGATCTCTATTAACATACCCGACGACTAATCACAATCGACCCGTATTGAAATGATATCATCGAAAGCGAATGACTTTTTAAAATGATGTAATCATAGTATAGCACATTTTAATATGTCTACTACAGATACAGAAATTAAAATCCATGAGTTTTCTAACAAATATTTGAGATGTTTCAAATTTTATGATAAAAGTGCCCTCTAGAAACTATAGATGTGTTTCGTGCTGATAGAGTAAAGATTGGATTTTTTTTTTAAAATTGTTGTAGATATTTTATAACGTTGTAATTTTAGTATGTTATACTCTGATATGTCTACTATCTTAACAAATACTAAAACTGATATTTAATCTAACAAATATTCGAGATATTCAACATTTCATAATAAAAGTACCCTCTATATACCGTGCTGAAAGAGTAAAGTGTAGATTTTTTTTTAAATAATTCTGTATATTTTAGAACGTTGTAATGTTATACTCTAATATGTGTACTATCCTAACAAATACTAAAATCGACGAGTTTTCTAACAAATATTCGAGATATTTAAATTCTATGAAACAAGTACACTTTAGAATTTACAGGGTCCGGCACTCGAAGTGTAACCAATTGAAAGAGCCATAAATTCAGTTTGGAAAATCAATTTTACTCGATTCAAAGTACAAAATGTGTAAAATAATACAAAATTTAAGAACAATTCACTTTTGCTCGACATGACCACCTTTTGCTTTGACTATGGCCTTTAGACGGTCCAAAAACAAATCGCATTTGGCCGAACGTGATTTGCAGGTATTTTGGCCCACTGGCGGACAACGGCTTTTTTTAGCGCCTCGAGACTGATGCACCCCTTAGTTCGGACCTTGCTCTCCGAAATGGCCCAAAGAGAATGATCCATAGGATTCGCGTGTGGTGAATTTGAGAGCCATTTTGCGGACGTTTTGAAGTTCGGAACGGTGTTTTTCAGCCATTCTTGGTTCACTCGAGCTTTATGATACGGTGCCGAGTCCTGTTGAAACGTCCATGGTCTGCCACCGAGATGTTGATTTGCCCATGGCTTCAAAGCAACCTTCAGAATACTTTCCCGATGATATCGCACATTTACCTTGACGCCAGGCTCGATGAAAACGATTGGAGATCGCCCATCCGCGGTTACAGCGACCCAAACCATTATCCGTGGCTGGTGTTGCCTCCTGGTGGCCAGTCGATGGTTCAAATTCTTGTCTGAACGTTCAGTCAAGTAAACCCTATCGTTTTGAGAGTGTGCGAATTGCTTAATTATGAAAATTTTCTCGTCGGAAAACACAATGTTCGGAAATTTACCACTCTCGGCCAGGCGAAGCAACTCCTTAGCTCTCTGAAGTCTCACTTGCTGCTGCTTCGACGTAACATCATGTGCCTCTTGGATCTTATAAGGCTTGACCTTGAGATCATTTTTCAGTATGCGGCGGATGCTACGATCAGATGTGTTAAGTTCTTCTGCCATTTAATTGGCACTTCGTCGGGGATTTCGCTCGAGTCGCTTTCTCACTTTTTTGACCATCTCATGTGACGTTGCAGTCTTTTGGTGACCACCTCCATGACGTTTTGCGATACTACCGGTTTCATTGTAACGAGTTATGGTGCGATAAGCAAAAATTTTATTCACTTTAAGGTGTTTGAGTCCTCGAACTATCGCTGGTTGTGATTTTCCAGCTAAATATAATGTAATCACACTGTTACGTTTGAAATCCATTACTGATTTCTTTTTTTCGCGTTCACTGTCGACTAAATACTTTCGTACGCTTATAAACAATAGACTAAACTATCATTTAGCTAACTTACTGACAGTTGGTACACGTGCATCAGCTACGCGAGCTGTTTGAAATTGGTTACACTTCGAGTGCCGGACCCTGTATATACATATGTGATTTTAAGTGACACGCTGAAGGAGTAAAGTTTAGAAATTTATTGTAATTTTTGTATTCGTTTTAGAATGTTGTAATTTTAGTATGTTATATTTATCCATTGGCACTCGACTCTTATCTTATCTTATCTGCCGTAATGCACTTCCGTTGCATTTGTACGGATTTACACCCTAGTCGCATCTAAAGATGATTTACTTCAAAAATAAAAAATTGTTAATAGAATTAATTATTAATTTTGACTTTTAGGTATGCTACTATAATGTGTGCAATTCATGGTAAAAATTTCTGTGTCAGCGCTAAAAATTCTATGTCCCTGATTTTGCGAAATGTTGGATTGTTCAGTATTGGAAATTTTGTAAGTAACAAAATAATATTATATATATATATATATATATATATATATATATTAGGGTGGTCCTTAATTTGGACATTTTCGAATTTTCTTGCTCCCAAGGGCTCAAATGGTCCCAAATTGATAAAAAACAATTTTCTCAAAGTCTTAGCTCTTAATATTAACTTCTAGATAGAGCGCAATTCAATCAAACTTGGGAATGGGAATAGCTTGGAAAAAATTTTGAAAATTAAAAAAAAAATTGTTTAGGTATAGCTTAGCGACAAATGAATTAAAAGTGAAAATTGTGTCATTTTTTATTGAAAATTCGACGCTCTGCAAAATGTTTGAAAATGTATTCATGCTATTTCCATACAAATCTTCGATTGAATTGCGCTCTGTCTAAAAGACAATATTAAGAACTAAATTTTTCAGAGAATTGTTTTTTACGAATTTGGAACCATTTGAGCCCTTGAGAGCAAGAAAATTCGAAAATGTTCATGTTAAGGACCACCCTAATATATATACTAGCTGGCCCGGAAACAATTATTTAGCCATGAAAAATATATCTAGAAAAATTTTGCTATAGAAAATATATAACTTATTGTGAATGTAAACGTGCATGGTATATAAGTGGAAAAAGTTAAAAGATGGTTTACTCACTGCAACGCATGCTACATATAAATGTTACTGGGGATCATTAATAGTCGTTGCAAGTGTCAGACTAATCTAAAACTGTATTTAAAATATCCAAATATGCCAACTAAATTTAAATAAATATTATTACCGCTTTTTTTTACTAATTCGGTATTTTTTATTTACGAAGCAAGATCTAACTATTTATATTTGAATTATGTTGTGACATGCTTGGTGAATCGAGTCAGAATTTAAAAAATATGAAAAAATCCATTTTTCTCTCAGAAACAATTTTATCTTCAGGTTTTATTATTAAATTTCTACCATTTTTTTGCAAAATTGCTCACTTGCTTAAATTTTTGCAGAAAATTGACCTCAAAGTTTAAATAATAGAGTTAGGATTAGACAAACCTTTGATAAAAATAAATTGTTTTTTAAAGAATTTTTTTTATTTTCTGGCATTTTTATAGAATCAAAAAACGAAACTATAATTAAATCAAAAACATTCTTCGACTAAACGCAATAAAATAAATTACTCGATTACTAAAAATGAATATTAAGTAATAGGAGTTTGTGGTAGGAGAGTAACAATTTAGGACTGTGTTATATATATACTAGCTGACCCGCCAAACAACTATATAAGACATTTATAAACAATTTCTAAAGAAAGTTAATATTTTGAATTTCTAATAACAATTTCAATTTTATTCTGCAATAAATCTTAAAAATTTTCTTTAACAAACTCCAAAAAGATTTATGAAAATCCGAATAACCGTTTAGGAGAAGTATCAAATAATACACCCGTACAGAAGAATTTTATATATATATAACATATATGAAATATTTTCTTTTTTAGGTGACCAGTAGTTTGCTCCTAATGTCCCAACTCCTGGTAACAGCCGTAATGGGTATCATAGCATATGCGGTATTTGGTAACGATTGGATACCACTTGAAGAAGACAATACCATCAACTATTGGTACATGCCAGTTGCCATAGTTGTGGTTGGAACTTTGATAGTCACGACTATATTTTTCGGAGTATATCATATGGCCATCGACACTATTGCCCTTTGCTTTTGTAAGTGATAAAAAATACTTGTTGATAGTGAAGGAAATGCCCCCAAAAAAGAATTGAAATTCACTTATTTAGGTAAAATCTATTGTATTATTAATTTTATTATTTTTAGTGGAAGATTGTGAAAGAAACGATGGATCATCTCAACGACCTTACTACATGTCCACCGAGTTGCTGAGGATTATGGAAAAAACTAATAAGCAGCAATAAATATAAGTATTACTAAATTTTTATACAATTCTAATTACTAATAAACTAATTTACTAGTTGTTTTACTAACTTGTTTTACTAACCATACAAATTAGAAGTTTGTGCCTGCGGGAATAAGAACATCTGGCGTGTCGACCCGGCGCCAAAGCTCCGGGTCGACGAGCTGCGTGTTAGAGTTATCCAAGAAACAAGGGTAATTTTATATTAGTGGCATTGACGCTCATGTTTGGATAATAACAATATAAATAGCTATTAGAAGGCAAACGGCAAAAAAATATCGAACTCGAATCCAGATGCGAAAGCAAAAGTTACCACAGAAACTTTCTTTAGCTTTCTAAAATTTTCATATTGAAAGTATAATTTTTTTAAATAATTTTGTTTAAATAAATTGTATTACTTTTATAATTAGGGAGCGTTCATTAATCGCGTAAGGCTTTGACAAAAATCACAAAATATTAAGTTGGTGGGAGGGTAAAGTCTAGTAAGATATCACGTGTATTTATGTTTTACATGAATTTTAAAAACAATCTTAACATATTTTCAAAAAATAAAAAAAGTTTACGTTTTTTTCTCTTAACTAAAAATATAAGTGATGTTTGGCGGGGAAGCAGGGTAATTTTAAATATCACCACGGAGAGGAGGTCCAAAAATCTCAAAAAAATTGGTCACGTGATTAATATACGTGTATTTATTCTTTACATGAATTTTTAAAAAAATCAAAACATTTTTTCAAAAAAAAAAATTAAAAAATACAATTTTGTCTCCTAACTAAAAATACACGTGATATTTGGCGGGTAAGGAGGGGTAATTTTAATTATTATTACGGAGAGGAGGTCTAAAAATCTCTAAAAAATCGGTCACGTGATTAATATACATGTATTTATTTTTTACATGTATTTTCAAAAAAATCTAAATATTTTTTCAAAAAAATGAAAATTTTTACGATTTTTTCTCCTTAAGTCGATGAAATTTTGTATATCGATAGATTTTGCATTATGCTGAAAGAACATAGTAAAATATTATAGGCCTAGGATAAGCGGTTAAAGTATAAAAAAAATAGCAAAGAATCGGTATGACAAGCATATGTATGCTCCATATTGTAAATTTAGTTTCCTCGTCAGTAGAGTTTTTTTTATATTCTAGATCGGAATTGATTTTGCTCGTCAGTAGAATCCTTTAAGTCAAAATTTAATTTTTTTAAGTCAAAGTTAAGATTGCTCGTCAGTAGATTCCGGTTTTAATGTTCTAAATCAGAATTTTATTTTTTTAAATCAAAGTAAGTTTGCTCATCTGAGAGTACGTTTTCAATCTTTTAAGTCAAAATTTTAATTCGAAGACTGGTCTTCCGTTTGACTTCAAACGATTGCAATTTCCAGTTCGCCTTGCGTTCGCAATAACAAGTCGCAAGGCCAATCTCTTAGTGCTTGCGGGATAAATTTCAAATAAATTATTCAGAAAATCATTGTTTTTCACATAGGCAATTATACGTTCCCTGTTCACGAGTTGGAAAACCATCCGCTTTGTTTGTGTTAACGTCAGACCAAAAAACAAAAAATGTGGTTTACCAAAGAGCACTTCAATGAAACGGATAATTTGCGGATTCACTTTCATTTACTTAGAGAAGTTTAACTAAAAAACACTTCATATTTGTAATCGAAATAAATTCATTACTGTTGTGTAATAAAATCAAATTTTTGCTTTTCAAATATGAAACAAACAAAAAATTTCTTCATCTTTCTCACGAAACCATCTGGTGGCGAAACGGAGTTCGTCGGGTTTGCTAGTATTTTATATGATTGAGGGTACTAACTATAAATCAAACACACACATGCCATACTTTTCTTTAACTACTTTTATTAACAATTATCAAAATTTCTGCAAACTTATCTTAAAATCATCGCAATCGTCCTGCGTCAGCTCCCAATTCAAATCGCTCGCAAGGATCATCAGTTGCATCAGGACAGGACCTCTTGTTAAATACGGCAACTCGCCGGCAGGCAAAGACACCTCTAGTTCCTTATAGAGTTCTTGAAACGTCACAAACTCTTTGGCTGCATTCAAATTGTTTTCAATAATTTTCCTGGAATGGAGTTTCACTATTTTGTGGTTGATGTTTCTTGGATAGGTTATAGGGAATTTTATGTCCTGTTGTGATGATGATAATGACGGTGGTGGTTTTACCTATTAATAAGGGATGATAAAGGGTGTAAAGGATTTTTGGGTATCGGAAAATAAATTTTGGAATTTCTATTTACCAGTTGCTTATTGCATTTTGGAGTACTCGTGGAACATCCTGATGCATCCTCTTGCTGATCACATGTCTAAAAAAAATAGATTTTAAAACAATTTTTCAGATTTTAGATACATTATGTGGCAAATATATTTTTTAGAATTTATTATGATGACACACATGCATTGTCGAAATGTACATAATGAATAGTTATTAACTTCCCGAAGGAGAAGTTTATGTTTTCATAAAAAAATCCGATTCGCCAATTTTATGTTTTCTCGACGTTTCAAGCCATTCTGAATCGAATGAGACCAAATTTAAGGGAAAAGTATGTGTGTGTGTGCGTGTGTGTAAGAACAGATTTTTGTCCTTTCGTCGACGTTTTCTCAAAAACGGCTGGACCGATTTTGAAAATTTTAAAGCCATTCGATGTGTCTTGATAAGAACATGCTTTTGTCAGTTTTGCTCGGATAAGCCGTTTCTTCGTAAATAGCAGAAATGAGAAAAAAATTGTACACGTTTTGAAGGTTATTGTAATCGTCCAAAAATCGAAATGAAATTTTTTGCATATCTTTACGTTTTAAAGATTTCTGAACATTTTTTTATACTTTGGGAAAAGTGGATGTGGGTTTGTGTATGTATGGATACAGTATTTTGTCGACGATTTCGGGCGCACGGATCAACCGATTTGAATGGTTTAAAAAACATTCGTTTCCTATTGATAAAGAGATGTGCTGATCAGTTTTTGGCAGAGGCAAGTCCAGCCGTTTCGGAGATACGGAGCAAAGAGTGCAGAAAATAGAAATCGAGATTTTGAGACAACAGAGTATCGGATTTAAATGATCTAACAAACATTCAATTTGTAATGATTGGGAGAAGAAGTGATTAGTTTTTGGCAAAGATAGGTCCCGCTATTTCGAAGATACAGAGCAAAATGTGCAAAAAATGGCAGTTGTTGAGTGAACTAAGCGTCCGATTTGAATAATCTAAATTAAACTTTCTGCTTGTATTGACAAAACAATTGCTTTTGAAAATCAAAAACTATTACATCTTTTTTTATTTTCCATAAAATAGTTTTGTAATTTTGGATTAAAAATTCAAAAAATTCAACAAATTACCCAGACTTAGCACAGTCTAAGCGCCACTCTGGTGCAAATGTTTACCCAAGTGCGTTTAGACTGTTTATGTAATTTTCCAACTATTGAAAAATGTGAAAATGCCGCCAAGCTAAGCGCAGTATAAGTGAAAATGTCGCACGGAATTATTTGCAAATGCTGTTTAGACTGTAACTATACGGGAGCATTTTTTCAATTTTGTATAAATTAGGCAACTTTTTTTTTAAATTGAATTCGAAATGAAATGACGATTGGAGATAAATTGATTTATGATTTACATTTGATTTGCTCTGATTTAACAAGATAGCAAAAGTAATGAAAGTTACAGTATTTGTAATAATACATTTGAAAACGTTTAAAATTTCTCGAATATTTCGTTACGGTACGGGAAGTTCCAGCAATTTGCCTTAAGGCACGATGCCATACACCACTAGTAGGTTTTTAAACTGAAAATTTTCGCATTTCAGCATTTATCTACTTTCAATATTTTGCATTCTTTGTTTCGTTTTCATTTAAATCTTGTACTAGTTCATATTTTATTCTTTCTACCATTTTTCTAGTCTAAATCATTTTTCTATTGGCATACAGTACTCGACTAGGATTCGATCTGAGTGTCTCTGTAGTGCTATTCGAGCTCTTGCCCACTTTGGTCACATCATATTATTGTTATTTTTATTGATGATTGTACTGAATGAAATGATGAGACCAAATTTAGATGAAACTTTGTATGGCCATAGATTTCTTACTCTGAAATAACATATTAACGATTAGCAGTTGAATTATAACGAGTGGGGCATGGCATCGTGCCTTAAGGTAAATTGCTGGTACATCCCGTACCAGAATTATATATTCGAGGATACACCTTCTCCGTTTACTGCACTATTAAGGCAAAAACAGACGAGCAAACTAAATATTGACCAGAGTAAGACAAAAGTGAAACAAAAGTTTTTGGATATCAGTAAATAACTTCTAGCCCTTACCTCAACAGGAGAAGCCTCCAATGACCCACTTCCTCCAACTTCATCATCATCATCATCATCCAATTCATCTTCATCATCATTTTCAAATTCCTCATCATCGTCTTGAGGAGACGTAAACGGCCTCATAAAATACCTATTGACCGAATCCTTCGACAAATCCAAAGACTCGGGAAAAAAATTTGCGATATGATTCCATTTCTGTAGCGACTTTTGTCCAAATTTATTGGGTTTCGTAATACGAAATTGGTCGTCGGAGATTGGTGTCGAAAGATCTATTTTGATGTGCGTTTTTAGGCGTTTTGCTGAATTCGATGATCTTGAGGAAGAGGATTGGGATCTACGTTTGCGAGTTACTAGAAGTAGAATATATTTGTATATATATATATATATATGTATATATATATGTATATATATGAAAAATTTTTATTTGTTTAATTCTTACATCGTTTGAATGTATGCACTGGTAACTCATCGACTTCTGCATTCATGTTAAATGTAACTTCCATTTCTGAATCATTGGAATTGTCATCATTCTGACCTTGGAAACTTGTTCCAGCATCACTTAAAGAAAAATAATTTGTTTTTTATTTTTGAAACAAAATTTTTGTACTATTTATTAGCAGCAAAAAAGCAATAAATAAAAAGTGGCATTTAGCTTCAAGGGGGTATTCTAGT